CATATGCACTCCGGATAATATCGAGATAATTTGAATCACACAGCCTATACCCTAAATCTCTCCTTGGTAGCTTAATCTCCGGAGTTTTTCAGGAGATTTTCGCAATTCCGCATTTCCGCATTCTGTTTTCCGCGTAATATGCGGGGCCCTTATTAAAAGCTTATTAAATTCTGATTCACGGAGAAGCTGCGGAGAAGTACTAACGAATCGTTTGAACGAATCACTTTACTGAACTGATTCTACTGATCCAGTACACTGAAAAGAACTGCTTTTCACAGCACTACTGCCTGGGAGCTGGAGTCTGACGTCACTTTCCTGCGCCATCCACTTTGTCATTTCGTTTTCGAGTTGGTTTGAATTGTGATAAACTTTTAGCACGGCAAGTTTGAAAACGAAAAGCCCTTTTCGTTTTCATTTGAATTATGTCATAGAATATGCATACATAGAGAGTAAAAGTATAATGCAAACTGGATGACTGAATATTCATTTTAAATATAGGTCAAATAATGCACCTATATTCTGAAAATTAAAACGTGTTCCTGTATTTTCATTTTAAAATTAGCTTTTTCATTTGAATTATGATACAGATTTAGCAAGGCATTTTTTGAAAATTATAAAGCAAATGTAATTTTCTTCCTAATTTTAATTTAGTCAAAGAATGTGCATTTTTGAAGTTGAAAACTAAAATTCAAATTAGATAAATTAATCATAATTTTATTTTTGAGTCAAATAATACACCCATATTCTGAAAATTAAAAAGCATTTCTGTTAATGCATTTGAATTCTCAAATTAGCTTTGTCATTTGAATTCTGATCACTAATCGCTTCCATACTACAGAGAAGATGTGGGATTTATCAAGTTTATATTGAGCAAATGGTTGATGTGTATGCTACGAGAATTAATAAAACGTATCCTATCGTTAACAAACCATCTTTTGCCCCTTTTGTGAACACCTAATACTAGACCACTCTATCTGATTTTTTTTTTTGGAAGCTTGTTTATTTATAGCTTTAATAAACATCTGTTTTAATGGTTTGTCTCCTTTTATTTTTTAATAGTTGCACTTTTGTGAGTTCTGCTTGTTGTAGACTTAAATTGGGTGAAACCATGAAAAAAGAGTATCAGCTCAAATAACGATTGTTAGACTATCAATAAAAACTAATGCAATAAACACTGATTAGAAATGGATTTTCGTTTTCCTGTATCTAAGACTCTACATCACCATCTTTTCAGATTGCAGCGAAGTTGATGCAAAGTGAAAACATGTCAAAGAAGGGGTCTAAGATTCAGCCTCGAAAAAGTGGACCAATGGACAAATATGTCAAGGTAAAAATATTTCATTGCTGAAATCTACCAACCTGTTGTATTTATCTTATTCCTGTTATTTGCATTTATATTATTGTTGCCCTCTCTGTTCTGTTGTTGTATTTGATTTGTCTGTGACAGCACTATGCAAACAATTGTTTTTAAAGGTGCTATATAAATAAAGTTATTATTATTATTATCTAATGATGTCAAGCCATTCTAAAAATGTAGATAACTAAAGGCCAATGGATCTGTGAGAAATTGTTGACTGCATACAAAGATTATATTTGTATTGTCTCACATTTAAATGAATACTAAAGGCACAAATACAAATTTGTTTTAATTGCACGTTGGCCTTTCTTGAGATTATATAACGTGACTGTCTGTCTGTTATCAGCCCTGTGGTAAACCAGAAACCTCACCGGGATGTGCCAGTCCTCTAACCCAGCGTCCACTGTCAACACCTAAACAGGTCTATCTGATTAATGTTTTATTTAAGAGTGTGATTGTCATAATGAAATTAAGTTTATTTTTCAACAATAAATGTGTTATATTCCTAGGATGAGGAGCTACATGCAACCCATTCCTTTGAGTGGGTGGGAAGTGACAAGAACCCCACAAACTTGACCTGCGGTAAGACAGGAACTATCGAGGACTCACTGAAGAAGAGTGCACAGTTCAGAGTTCTTGCAAAAAAGAATACAAACAGGGAACTTGTCATTGTACGTGATGGGAGAGCTATCAGTTCACACTTCCCATGCAGCTTCATTAAGAATGAACGTCTTACTGTCAAGTACATAAAAGCGGCAGACAAGCACTCGCAATTACCTAGAAATCGAGCTTCTGCTATTCGCCAAGGACAGGTTCCCTCTGACAAGCTTGTGGTGTTTCATGTGGTGACAAAAGGAGGGGAAAATGTAGCACGTATGATGAAAAACGAAGAACTTAAAATAAAGTTTGAGGAAATTACCGTTTATGGTTTGAAAGGAGAGAAAGTGAAAGAGGCACTGAAAAGAGGTGGACGCTTACTGAAAAAAGCGTTCCAAACAAACTGTGCGCTCATTGATAAAAACACTGAAGTAAGAACTGAAATGCACAACTTAGTTGATGATCTTGATGGTAAAACTGTCAAGATCAAAATGATCAGTAAGTGTACTCAACCAGAAAGTCAACCTGAAAGCCTTGAAGATGCAGATGTGCTTCAGAGCGAATCTCAGAAATCTGACTCCGAGATCCAAGTTGAAAACCAAGATCCTCAGCAGCAGTCTACCACAAACCAGTCAGTGACTGACAACATAAGTAAGGGAAATTCAAAGCAAAATGGCATTCGACAGACAGAAAAAATACCCAATTTGGAAAATCTAAAGAGTCACCTATCTTTCCAGGTAAAACAACGGGTGAAAGGGATGAAAACTGGACTTTCAAAGCGTTCTAATATCCAGAATCTCTTTCGTGTAGAGTACGGAAAGAGTGCTGAGACATGCAGAGAGGTGAAAACAATGAAGAAGCTGATGGCTCTCAGTGATTCTGTTTGTGCTGTGAGGATAAATGGGAAACCTAGCGGAAGTGGCTTTCTCCTGTTTGACAAGTTTGTCCTCACAAATGGCCACGTAATTAAAAACATTTATAATGAGAGCACAAAGCAGTTATCTGAGTCGATGACTGTCCATTTCTCTTTTGAGAGTCTGGACCAATGGGATTCAGGAGCAAAGGTGGAGGAGGTTACAGCCTGGGAGTACTATTGTGACAACTCGGGCCACATGAATGACTGGGCTTTGTTGAGGATCAGTTCTGATCAAAAACTACCGCGGTGTCTCTTAAAACACTTTGGGTTCCTCCCCAGTGGTGGAGGAATTTGCATCATTGGGCACCCCAATGATGGTGTAAAGAAGATCGACCCATGCTGGATTATTCCCACTGATAACCGCAAACAAGTTGTACAGAACCATTGCAATAGAAACCTGGATGGTGTTCTGCCAGACAGCAAGCAGTACTTTAAAGACCAGGAGTACATTAATTTTATAACTAATAATTTTTTTGAAAGTGTGTCACAATCTGTTAATGGTTTGAAACAGGTTCTCACTTACAAGTCTTGCTTTTATTTCGGCTCATCTGGCTCTCCGGTCTTTGACGAGCACTGCAATGTTGTTGCAATGCATTCAGCAGGATATGAATACGGAAACAGAAGGGGTGAAAGAAGCAGTGTCATAGAGTTTGGCTATCCTTTGTCCCTCATCCTAGAACACATCATCATCCAGATGGTGGAAAATGCAAGATTTGATGTGCTAAAGAAATACCTGGCTTGCAATTATTCACAACACCAAAACATGATGAGCAATTTGAAGAAATTGGTCGAAAGCAGAAATCTCACATCATTTCAAAAGGCATTCAACAACTTGGTTCACACAAATGAGGAACGTTTGAAGATGTTTTTTGGACTCTTACTTCAGAGAGAGGAACCTGTCCCTATGGACACACTCTGAGTACAAACTGTACACAGATAACTGTAGTTAGCAACAGTATCCGACATGTCTTTTTTCATGGTCCAGGATACTAGTTTTATCAAACAGGGCAGGTAATGGTGGCGATATCTAAAGCTAAACTTGGTGTATTCATTGTTTGAAGCATCACTTTCAGTAAAAATGTGTTGCATTATTTTCATGATCTCTGCATTCTCCTTTTTGTTAAAGCTTTCTGTAAATGTACACTTACTTATTTATGTGCTGGTTCAAAACAAATATGACTGCATTGGTTGGAGGTCTGGCCTAATAAATGAAACAGATAACATAATTAGTTGATGTTATCATATTCATTAAATCATGTTCAGGGTTAAGCTTTCAGATTTGTCAGAAATCTTTGTGCATAAATACAAAAGATAAAACTGATTTTACTCAGGTTACAAGACTGGCTCTATATATTTTTTATGTCTATTATTCTTTGATAATAATGGATCAGAAATGTTGTTTCATTTATGTATTATTTTCAGCAGTATTCGCGGTTGTGATTATTGCTTATTTGTATGTACATTACAAAAGGATTGACTACAAATGATTTTGCCATATTCTATTAAACTGTCATTGTATTGAAATTCATAATGGAAAATGTCTCATGTAGGCCTAATAATATGACGTCTTTCGTAGCCTTCATGGATCTTGTTTGTGTTTTTAGGTAATAATCGCATAAACTATGAATGTCTCATATTTTGTTATTTCAGTTGTTTGTTTTTGCTTTATTTCCTTTGTTAACTGTTTTGCACCAAGACAAATTCTTTGTATGTGTAAATGTACTTGGTATTAAAAAATATTCTGATTCTGATGAATGAGAGGTCAAAAGAGTGTAATTGAAAATATCACCAGCATTTTCTAACACTTCTAATTTGTATTTTATACAACGTGTATACACATTTGTACACTGTTTGAAAGCCATCATTCAACACAGGTAGGAAATTACAATATAAAGATCTATCGTTTATTGTACACTGCATTTTAATGTTTGTTACATACAGAAATCATAGCTGGTAAGGTCGTGTGTTCCTACAACAAAACTGATCTTTCAACAGAGATTGGGATACCACATACTGACGTCTAGAAACATTAAATCACATTGAAATAGGTTAATCAAATAATTTCAGATCTCAGGTGATGCTTTGTGTGCATTATTAAACTGTTTTTTCGGAAGAAGGAGGAACCTTCGTTACTGCGTCTGTTTCTACCCGGCGCATTTGAAGCGGGACTGCAGCACAGTTCCTGTCGAAATGGAAGTGTAAGATCCCTTTGTTTTATTTATTTATACAAAATACAGAAATTTGCGCGGGGAGTTTTTTGTCAACAGTTGTTTATTTTTAATTTTTAAATGTAGTTATAAAGGTATAACAGCTACGCCTTCGTCGCAGTTATCGCTAATTTGTTTCATCAGCTGGGAGCAGGCTGCATGTGTGATCAGTGTTTCATTGTGAGCTACACGTTAAGGATCTGCATTGTGATTAAATGATACCAAATGTAATTTAACGTTTTCCCGTCAGTGTTAAAGAAACTGTTCATAAAATTATCTGGTTAAGTTAAATGAAGAGAATGATCCAAGACTAATTATTTAAAGCGTTTTCCTATTCAATTAAACTAAATTAAATTTATTTTGTATAGCGTCAACTCAACAAGTGTTATCTCAAGACACTTTACAAAAAGCAGGTAAAATACCTTACTTATTGCTATATTACAAAGATCCGGCCTATCCATCATGAGCACTTTAGCAAAGCAGCAAAAGTTACAGTGGTAAGAAAAAACTGCCTTATTAAAAGGCAGAAATCTTCGGCCGGCTCATGATGAAACAGCCTTCACAGGCCTAGACTGCGCCGGGCTTGGAAAGGGATAGGGGGAGAGATGGGATAAGATGCAGGAAGAGGGATAGGGAGCAAGGGAGTGGGGGGAGGCAAGCCGTCCATCAACAATCCGGTGGTGGGGGTGGTTTGTTCTGGCAGGCCGTCAACCAGCGATCTTGAGGAGCCTAAGAGAGCTCAAGAGCTCTCAGGAAAGTAGGTGGTTAGTGACTGAGATTTACAGATAGATACATGCAGTAATATGATGTACTGTATATGCACAGAGAGAGAGAGAGAGAGAGATACATGCAGTAATATGATGTACTGTATATGCACAGAGAGAGAGAGAGAGAGAGATACATGCAGTAATATGATGTACTGTATATGCACAGAGAGAGAGAGAGAGAGATACATGCAGTAATATGATGTACTGTATATGCACAGAGAGAGAGAGAGAGAGAGAGAGAGAGAGAGCTCAAGGTGACAGTTCCCCCGGTAGTCTAAGCCTATAGCAGCATAACTAGGAGCTAACTATAAGATTTATCAAAAAGGAAAGTTTTAAGTCTATTCTTAAAAATACAGACTGTGTCTGCCTCCCGGAAGGCGGTTCCAGAGGAGAGGAGCCCGATAACTGAAGGCTTTACCTCCCATAGTACACTTAGAGACTGTAGGTACCACTAGCAGGCCTGCACTCCGGGACCGCAACACTCTCGAGGGACAGTACGGTACTAGTAGCTCCTTAAGATAAGATGGTGCCTGGCCATTTAGAGCTTTGTAGGTGAGAAGAAGGATCTTGAATTCTATTCTAGACTGTACAGGGAGCCAGTGCAGAGAAGCCAAGACAGGAGTAATGTTGTCCCATTTCCTGGTTCTGGTCAGTACACGACCAGTGTACTGTTTTCATTTGTCCTGTAGAATACAGATGGATCATAACATAGTTTGAGCAACAAAATGTTTAAATACATAAAAGCAGCTTATCATATTTTTAATGCAGCCAGCCGGTTCAGCCCTCTTCATTCTGAAATTGTCAACATCAAAACACTTATTCTGGTTTTTATAACTCCAATAATTTGAGCTCAAAAGTCCCCCATCCATCTTTTAGAGCTTTGCATTTTATGGTTATCTTCACCCTGAGAGTAGAGGTGAAGACTGTGAGATCTGGTCAAAAGCTTGGAAGGATAGAAAGTTGACATTTGAGTTCAAATGATTTGGTCACATAAAAAGCTTTCAGAGGTTCAGCAAGAATGAACCTGTATGCTTTTATTTCTTATCATCAGGAAAAACTCAAGCGCTGCTATGCTGAGCAACTATGAGGTAAGGTCATATATATTTTGTCTCACTATTTTACATAAAAATTTGTTCAATCTTGGAATTGATTCATATGATTTAACTTCACTTCAAATGTTGATGTCTGTGTTTTTCAGGTGTTCAAACTCCTCACAGACCTGAAGGAACAGAGGAAGGACAACGGGAAGAACAAACACAGCACAGGGCAGCAGAACCTCAACACCATCATGTATGAGGTAGGCACATATCCTCTCTCTCTCTTCACAGCTTTAAACCTGTTCTAAGACTCACTTGTGTCGCATGGAAACTTCCACAAAAACCCGCCAACAGTTTCTCCTGTATTTCCAAACAGACACTGAAGTATCTGTCAAAGACACCCTGCAGCAGGCAGAGTCCAGAGGTCGTCAAAGAGTTCCTTAACACCATGATGCCTCACAAACTCACAAAGTCAGTGAGCTCAACACAGCCGTAGATATACTCTTCATGTTTTATTGAAAACACAACTTTTGAATAACATAAACATATACAGTGCACTGTAATGATTTGTGTGTTATCTGTTGTATTTCACCCATCAGGGCGGAGAAACTGCAGCTTCTGAACCACCGACCACAAACAGCAGTGGAAATTCAACTTGTGAGTTTTTACTTTAATGCCATAATTACTAGTACATCTTATTTTAGCTGTCTTATTGTTTATTAACCACTGGTATGCATTCCATCCAATTATTGTGATAAAACATGCTGAGTGTCATATAATAAGACGTGTATAAAATCGAGTGTCAGTGCCATACGACCTTCAAAAGTCGAATACAGACAATAAAGTGATTCTATCCCTCAGTATTTTTTGTATGAAACAGTTTTAAAGACATCCAGAAGCCTCCCTGTTGCACTGGCTGACATGCCAGTCTGTTCCAAATACACTTAACGCTGCTGGAAATACTCACTAGAGAATCATTTGTGTATAAATCCACAGGTGAAAATATATGAAAGTCTTGAGAAACATAGTGGTATTTTGTTTTATGGGATTAATATACAATTACAAGAATATAGGAACAAATCTCAGCCTTAGAAATGCAGCTTTGTTGTTACTCATAACCGAAGGTTGTGGTCAAATAGTCTCTTTTCTTTTCCTACCTCAAAGAAAATGATCTGAAAGTATCTTTCAGAAGTAGAAGTATCTAGAACAGGTGCTTTAATGATTCCTTTCACATGATTTTTAGCATAGGCAACACTGGACCATCCTTCGGACAAGAAAGGAAATAATGCTGTCGCACTATTCCTCGCACCAGTATCATTGAAGAGCGTATCATTTGGACATCACAAGAACATATGATCACAAACCTAAAAAAAACAATGACATTCAAGAAGTCTCAATGAGATTCCAGTGGGATGGCACTGTTTCCAATGTGACGGCTTTTGTTTAATTTAATTACTAACCTATGAATGAAGCCATGTTTTTGGGCGGGTGTGGCTCAGTGGGTAGAGTCGGTTGTCTCTCAAACGGAAGGTTTGGGGTTCAATCCCCAGCTCCTGCAGCCACATGTCCGATGTGTCCTTGGGCAAGACACTTAACCCCAAGGTGCTCCCGCTACGTTGTGTGCATGTGTAAGAATGGGATTAGTTATTTCTGATCTGTCACTTTACAACCTCTGCCATCAGTGTGAGAATGGGCAGGTGAGACATGCGATGTAAAAGCGCTTTGAGTAGTTAGAAGAATAGAAAAAAAGCCCTACACAAGCTCAAGTCCATTTACCATTTTTACACTGAGTTATATGTAAGAGCATATCTTAGAAGATTTATTTACATATATTCTGTATATTTAAAGATTTATTTGTAAGCTTGTATCCTTCATTGGATAGGACAGTGGATAGAGTGGGCAATCAGAGAGAGTGGGGAATGACTTGCAAAAAAAGGAGCCACAGGTCGGCTCGAAAGCGTCACCTACCTGGAGGAATAGCCTCCGTACATGGGATGCGAGTCTTCCTGCACCCCACATCACTGTAGTTTCCCCGCTGCAGGCCATTGTTTGTTGCATAATGGTTAGGTAATGAAAGTGTAGCGAGATACTCTCTGCGCTGTGGCTACCTTTGATTTTTAGTAGTTCTCCTTTACATCTTTCCTTGACCTCAAAGTGTTTTCCATTCTAAAAGTGTTTTAGAAAAGACATTGGATAACGTTTTTTTTGTTTTGACTACTCGGCCACAGCCATAGTCACATAATTCCAAAGCAAACGTTGTGTTGAGTCATTTATTCACTGAAAAAGACTCATTTGGCTCCCTTTATAGAAGGAAAATCACGATGAAAGCCTTTTATTGGTGGCACTTGTTTAAATGTCTGAATCTGTGTCATCGATGCTTCTCTGGAGATCCACCTCTCAGCAGGACACAACATGGACCGCTTGTTCACTCAGGCCAAATTGCATTTTGGGGTTTCAGACATTCAGTCCATTACCAGTGACATCAATAACCTGTAGTGGTGCACATGGAAAAGTAAAACGGCCCTGCAGCTATTTGGACTCACTCAGATGAAAGGCATAGTTCCACAGCTGGAAATTGACCTCGGACTGGTTGACACATGCTCTGCTTTCTTTACTGATCACATGTTACATCATCTCTGACGTTCTATAATTAAAATCCCTGTTTTTATGTTGTGTCTTTCTGTCATTTTGCATGTGCCAACATCCAGTTTTACAAACCACTTAAGAACTGGTGCTGTTTATAAATGTTAAGTAAACTGCTTTTATAAATTTGGAAACAGCATTTGACATTTCACCTTAAACTACAGTGAGTGGCTATTCTGATGCTTTCAGATGCATGTGTCATATCACATGATCTGTGTCAGCAGGTGGGGTTACCTACCATGGATTATTCTGAGTACTTTAAAGATTTTCTTTAATGCTTTTGTTTTTGATCACATGTTGTGTTTAAAAAAGCAAGAGATATGAAATGGTTGTGTTTCTTGATTATTGAAGCGTGTACACATTTTTGGATAGACTGGACCCTCAAATAAAAATATAAACCTGGACATTTGAATATGTGCCATTCAAGGACTTATCATTCATTTTGGACATCTGAACATCTAATAAATCCTTGACAACTTTCTAAGACCAAGTGTTGATTAAAGCATGTGGTAATGTGATATAACACTTAGGTTAACTTTGAATAAGGTGAATAAATGCAACAGAAAAAATGGAAGTTCCCGTTCAAACTATCTGATTTTACTGAAACTTGTTCTCTGTCGGTGTTCAGTTGGTGGAGGAGAGTGAAGAGCGGCTATCGGAGGCGCAGATTGAGGAGCTCATCCAAACGGTCTCTGCTGCTCTACCTGGTGACCCGGAGCTGGAAAATGCAGATGCAGAGATGGGGGAAGGTGGTGAACAGTCATGACACAGTGACGCCCAAATGACTCGGACTGTTCTTGGAGAACTGGAGTAAAGTTTGAAGTGAATACACAACTGGACTGCTTTTTACCGGCACAATTTTGCATCCCTGTTTGAATTAAACAACAAGGTGACTAAAGGGAGACTCAAATGCTGCCTGGTCGCGGATAAAAGGAACCCTTTACTTAATTTTGAACAGAAAAAGATAAGCCCGTTCTAATTTGCGTTTGCTTTTTTATTTACAAATGGATTCAAATCTAATGAGCACATCCCTTCATAAGGACAGGTGTTAGGACAGAGAGTCACAGATGTTTTGCATTGTACTGATCTAATTTGTATTCCACCTTAGATATCGTTTATGCAGAGACAGACTGTTGTTATTGTGCTGGGTTTGTGGCTCCTGACTTAATGCTACTCATCACTGTCATTCTCTCATTTGTGTGTAAAATAAGGGGTTTTTGCTGCTGTATGATTTACCAAGTCAGACTTGTAATGGTACAGCACTAACACAAGGTCAGGTAATAATATAAGAGTGGCTGTGTGATAACAAACGTGTTTACCAAGAGGTAATTCTGTCTTTTTCTAATGCAGTACTTTTTGTAGCACTTGTTTTTTTCCTCCATAATGAGAAAATATCTATTGAATTGTGACTGTCATCAAGTCAACAACAGTTTTCAACAAAGGCTGCAGGCTTTTCTTCTGGTTTACACATGGTGCAACTGTAGGACTATAATCAGAAACCCTATTCAGTATCAGACAATAGTGGCATCATCCTCAATGCGTCTTTTATCTGCATCCTGTCTGTGAATGCAACACAAAGGAAGAACAGCCCATGTAGTGTACTGGGAAGCCATCATATGGGTCATTGTCTTTACTGATCATTTAGTAATTTTGGAAGAGTGTTTTAGGTGTCAAGTTTAAAATTTGCAATCAATTATTGATCCTCCTCTAATAATGTCATCTATCAAAGCCCACATGCATTTTTTTGTTAGATAGGTTTGTGTAATCACTCAGGATATATCTGTAAACTGATGTTAGGCCAGAAACTCCTAATCCACCGACTCCGGAGCAGCTGGTTTTTTCTCAGCTGTGATGTTGTTTGATAGATAAGACTTCATTGTCAGACATGGTCTGAAATGTGCAGCTCCATTAACGACAAAAATCAAACAAGACACAAACATCTGACACAACATTCAAACATCAGACTTATATTCAGAGGCCTTCATTGCGCTTTGGTCTGGGATTCAACTCCATATTGAATTTTAGGATTGACTTGTTTACAAAAGAGTGTTTTGTTTTTTCTTTATTAAAACGTGGGACCTTGTATATATCAGGTTTAATGTTAAAACTTCAAATTCACAGTTCAGGCTGTGGTTAGGGTCAGAGACAATGCTGTTGGCCATCTTAACATGTTTTGAAATGTAGGCTGATTCATAAGAGTCTCTGGAGGTTGGTCTATAAATGTTGTGACACAGCAGAGGAAGTATGTGCTGGTTACACTCATGTACCTTTCCGTTTTGAGTTTCCTGTTCGTGTATCACATCGGTTTCCTGTGCTTGCTTTGGTAAGAATCAACAAAAAAGTTAGATGGACACTGATTTAGAAAATTACACCTAGGAGCCTTGAGTGACCCCAATGTCTGTAAAGCTTGAAACTGAAGAGGTCAAAATCCAGCAACACTTATAGAATGAAGATCAACTTTATTAACAAATTAGTCCGCGTTTCGGCTTGTGACCTTCATCAGTGTCATCTTGAAAACAAACACATCTGGATAACACCATCATTCCGTGTGACCATTTAAGCATCAAGGATTTTGTGTTATGGCTAGAGAGGTGCTGCTGTTATATTCAACAATGGGTTTTTCTGTTATTTATTGAGGTAATAATTGCAAAAAATATTTTAGTTCAAGGTTGAACTTTGAACACATGGAGGTTAATTTAGTAACACTGAAGACAATAAAATTCAAGTTCTTCATCCAAGTTTTAATAACCCAATAGCTGAAGCCAACAGTTTTTCAGGGACTCAGGAGTTCAGGCCCTGAATGTTATTAAATAATTGTTAAATAAAAAAGAAACCATATCCAATGGTTTAAAAATATAAAATACCCGTTCTGAACATTAGGGAAAAGTCATTCATTTATTTGCTCAACATTTTAACACCTTCAGGTCTCCCAAGCACTTAACTCATTGATTATGTAAGTATCTCCTTACTTATTCATGAATTTCAGAGATTATTTATGTTTTCTTTGTAATAATTTGACAGGTTTATGTTTTGAGGTTCACCTCAGGGGCCGCAATCCATCACGAAGATCCAGAGCCACTGAAATATGTTGTGCAAATGAAAAGGTGGACAAATTAAATGAGGCGAAGATAAGCCTCAACTAAACCTCACACTGTGATTAAATTTTCCCTCAGGGCTTTCGCTCACAGCATACAAATCGATGCAAGTTAAGTAATTTAAGCCTCGGGCGAAAATAAGCGAGCTTGTCGTGTCACTGCTGCGGAATTGCCCTTTAACATCTCCACCAATAGGGATCGCCCAAGCAGATGCGCTTTTAGTATTCAGAAGGGCCGTTGACCAATCAGCGCCCTGCTTTCTCTGCCTTGCTGCGCTCTTTGCTCGCTGGCGTGTTTTTTTTTTTTCTTCTCCCAGCGGTGGATACAGCTCGACTTCTCACGGTGCAAAGTTACATCAGGAACCAGCGTTAAAAAAAAAAAACGGTTTTGTTATGTGTATTGCATATCAAATGCCGTAGACATTACGGCTGCTTCTTTTCACCGACAAATGAGAGAGAACACCGATGTGGTCGTCGATAGAAGGAGCTGCTGGTTTCGGTTTTTGGATCAAGGTTGATGTGTGTTTTTTTCTCTCAGGATTTCGACAGTTTCCGAGACGTTGGTGAGTGAACACACCGTTTGACGAGTTGCCTCCACACAGCTCAATGAATGTACTTGTAGCAGGTAAAACGCTATTAATGAGGTGCTTACAGCGTTTTTTTCTGTTGAGTATGGGTGGCCTCTGGTCTGCGTTTGTCTGATAGCAGGTCATTCACCTGGTGGCCGCCTGCCTCGGGTGCAGACAACATGCATCTTCAAGCCAGGCCAGATGTTCATGGCTGCTGGGCCTTCACTGTAAAGCTGTGGAATAATCCTGTTTATACACACGCAAACACACACCGCGGTAATAGCTTTGACTTGTTTGCACCAATATGCACCTGGTTCACCACATATTCTTTTTTTTTTTTGCAAGGTTGCAAAACTAATATGCACCATGAAGCAGGGGACCATTGAAGGTATCAGTTCATGCGGGTATGCTGCTGTAGGTAATTTAAAAGCAAGAGTTAAATGTCTCCCTTTCGGCAGGAAATCAGTGTCAGTGATGTGTCAGTGGTGCCTTAATCACCAAAAATGCCTGCAAAGCAACCAAAAAGTAGCAATGAGAAAGGACTCGTAATAGAGGTTACTTTCAGGAAACTCGTTTTGCTGCTGAGTGGAAACTGTCTTCACAGCTGAGATAAAGAATACTAGAATTGCTACAAAACACTAATACAGACAAAACTACATCAGAAGTATGTTTAATTGTGGAGGATTTACGAATTGATGAACTGATAATTTTGGCAGATTGATGTAGCCTATATCAAGGCTTGTCCAAGTTCAGAGGAAATATGGTATGTGTATATGTTCTCCCTTTTAGACTTAGGCAGAAAGCGTGTGTTCCCTCCTGTGAACATAAGGAGGTGACACACAATCTGGGTTGCTGCTCAAAGATGTCAGCCTGCTGTTTTCCTACCTGTCACCTTAACCACCTCCTCTAGACAGATCACAGGTTACACTGTCTCTGCTTATTATAGACTTTGTTTCTTTGACTTGTCCCTGATCAGAGAACTCATTTGCCTTCTTCAAGGTCAGTGCCCCAGAATAGACAGACAGGTTTTTAGCAGGAACCACTTTGTGAAGAAAAAAAGTCAAATAAGCCTAGAGTCTAGCCAAGGAGGTAGTTTAGTTACCGATAATTTAGATATGTTGTTGATGTTTCTGCATTACCCTAAAAAAAAACAATGTTTGTGAAGGTCATTACATTTTGGCGCCCACATGATTAAAAAAAAGAAACAATCAGCAAGAATATCTCTTAAAGGGTCCCAAAACAGTTAACAGTATGTGTACCTGCACGTCCAGATAAGACCAGAAGTAAATTATAGAGCTGGAACAAGTACTTATTTGGTCAACAGACTTAAAAATAACTGACAGTTATCAAGTCATTTCCAGGAAGAATACAAAGATTTCTATCATTTCCTGCTTTTCCATTTTAAAGATTGTTTGCTTTTCTTGTTCTTGCTTGTAAATTAAAATTTTGGGGCTCAAGACTTAACAACAAATAGTTGCCCAAATAAAGATTTGCTTTGAGAAATTCTGATATTTATCTTTGCTATTTTTTTAGAGTTTTATAGACAACATGATGATCAAGAAAAAAAAAACGACAAATGAATCATTAATGAAAATAACTGTTAACGTGTTTTGTATTTGTGGTTAACTGGACCTTTAATGAGAAAAAGCCCTTTATAGAGGAGGGAAATAAATCAGCAAGGCACGTCTTAAACCACTGGCCTAATTCTTTGTACACTCCAAGTGGCTTAATCTCTGCATGGAAATGCATTAGAATTACATGTAAAGCTTGTGGAAATACCAGTGGACTTAGCGGGGCTTAAGGCAGCACCTCAATAACCCAGCCAGGCCATGATGTCCTCATTTCCAGCTGTTTTCCCCTTTTACTTTGATCGTCAAATTTTACAGGCCAGCTACTCCAGCCCTGAGAGAGGAGTGTTCCCCCACGTGGCATCCAGATGTCAGGCTCCCTGTACAGTCTCAACTAGACAGAAATACCACAGTACATGTGAGAAAGGGACATTAGGGAAAAGGAAAAGAGAAGTTAAAAGTCTGTGAAGTTGCTTCAGAAATAGTTCAAACGATGAGTTTAACCAGTAAATGAAAAGTTTGAAGATAATGACCAGCTGAATTCTATTCTCCTTGCAACCTTGTGTGTATGTTGCTATAAAGAGGAACTACAGGCAGGCTAATGTTGATGTAACTACTCCTTGCAGTGAACATTGAAGAGAAATGGGGAAGTTGTGAGTCTACGCTTTGTAAAATGTAACCTGATCCTAGAGAAGTGGTGTTGTGTGGCAGAAACTGTCAGTGAGAATTAAAACAAGACGAAGCAGTAATTAGCCGCTTAAGATGCACTGTATGAGACTGAACTGTGATACTGCTCCACAGTCTGGATCGTCCCAGTGGAGAGATGCAAAATAAAACTGGATGTGATTCAGCCTCTCTGGAAGTGTTTAGTGCTCTTGGCAAAGTTACAGTCATGTAGTCAGTAGGAAAAATCACACCATCACACCTTGCCAATAATAGCTCTATCATGCTGGGTAGTGGCTAATGTTTGGAAATATAATACATCATGATGATGTACAGTATGTTTGTTTGTTTGTCGAAACGTTGTGAAGGAAAATCCTAAACTGGAGTACAATTGAAGATACTGGCACGGGAGCATCCTTTTTTGTATGCATGCCATGTAAGCTGATGAAGGTTCCATGCATTTCTGATTGAAGTGTATGATGTGTTCTTCTGTTTAGGTAACAATGATTAAGAAACGTGGCCAGCTGTGGAGCGCAGCAGGCCTGGATCCTGCCCTGCGACACCAAGGCTGAGGAGTTGCAGAGGAGCGACTAGCCCTCCTTGCCCACCCCTGAATATCCCATCTGGACATCACCCTCGATCAGAACTTCCTCATTATCACTTCAGCTTCAAGCCAACTGATCTTTGCTGATATTTAACAAGAACCCACATTCCAGAGACCTCATTATTGGTGAATTTTATGAAGCCACAATGAGGAACAGCAGATCCAGCCTCCTCCTGGGCTGTGTGCTCCTCTGCTCCGCCTCCTTGCTTTACCTGGGCATGAGTGGTGTAGAGTGCCCTCCAAAAAGCCATCGTTACAGGTGGATGGAGCTCAACCTGGGTTTGGCCAATCAGAGTTTATCCCTGACTGAACACTTCCCAGAAGACACGCCCCTGATCTTCATCGGAGGCTTCCCCAGGAGCGGCACCACGCTGATGCGCGTCATGCTGGACGCCCACAGTCACGTGCGTTGTGGGGAAGAGACTCGAGTGATTCCCCGTCTTCTGGCCATGCGGGCCACCTGGAGCCGCTCGGTGAAGGAGAGGATACGGCTCGACGAGGCTGGGGTCACAGACCAGGTGTTGGACTCAGCAGTACGAGCATTCCTGTTAGAGGTGAGCTGCTTATTCATTTTTATAAATGAAATTCAAAAAATGTTTGTTACAATTACCAAAATGACAAATTCAGATTTTTTTTTCTCTCTGTTCTTCCATCCAAAGCCCTATTTTAATTACATTTTCAATCACAGAAAACAAATAAGCACCTATTTCTCACTTTTGAGATGGTGACATCATGCTGCGTCTATTAACATTTACATTCTATAGGAATGACATGCAGGTAAGGAGCCACAGGACAGATTCAAAACCAAACTCGAGGTCTTTAGCCTCTGTACAGGAGCGTGCACACTAACCCCATAGGCTGGTTAGCTGCACCTCTCAAGTCCCAAATTGAGCTCCCCACTTGTAATTTAGAATAACTTATTTCCCAACATGTCCACTTTGTGGTTAAAACAAGTAAATTAAACATTTTATTTGTGTAAATGTTTCTTCACACTCAGTCATACCTCGTCTATCTTGGGAAAAATGTCATACTTTGCTATATTACAACCATTACAACAAGTGCTCATCCCTGTTAGTAGAAATTACACACATGGTCATGTTTGGGCCTCAGTATAAACATGACATTTTCACTTTTCAGGTGATAGTCGGCCATGGGGAGCCGGCTCCACGCCTCTGCAACAAGGACCCGTTTGCTTTGAAGTCTCTTTCATATCTGTCCCGCATCTTCCCTAAAGGCAAATTTGTGCTCATGCTGCGAGACGGACGGGCCACCGTTCACTCCATGATATCACGCAAGGTATGCTGGGATTTTTGCTCTTACCAGAAACACTTCCTCTCAGATTTCCAAACAGCCTCTTTTGAGGTCTGAACACAGAAAGGAAGCTATATTGTCACATAATGGCACATGTACACACTCTTTCATGATTGGTGTTTATCTCTCCTTTCTCTCTGTCCATCCACAGGTGACCATCTCTGGCTTCGACCTGACCAGCTACAGGGACTGTCTGACTAAGTGGAGCAGCGCGGTGGAGACCATGTTCAGTCAGTGCGAGGCAGCTGGGGAGGACCGGTGTCTGCCCGTCCGCTACGAGCAGCTTGTCCTCCACGCGGAGGAGGAAATGAGGAAGCTGCTTCACTTCCTAGATCTGCAGTGGGACCCATCAGTGCTGCACCATGAAGAGCTAATCGGAAAAGCTGGTGGTGTTTCTTTGTCCAAGTGAGTCTTTGAAATGTGTGTATGTACACAGAGCTCACCTCTTAGCTGTGGTTGTATCCAGACTAAAATTACACTTCAATGTCCTGAGGTTTTCAGATTTTTACTGGAAAGGCAGGTTGTTGTTGCTTTTTGTTTTTTTGTGTGGTTTGGCAGTAGTTTCACAGAGATGAGTCTCAACCTCAGCACACGAAACTGGGGCTGTCTGATTGGTTAAACTACCACAGTTAAAGGTCAAGTGTGGGTGTTTCAAAAGTAACAGTAACATTTGCAAGTCTTGGAAAAGTCTTATTCCTTAAATCATGCTATCCTTATGCACGGTCTAATATAGCCTTGAGTACTTTTCAAAAGCTTTGAAGTTCAGGAGGGTTTAAATTTTTGGTATTTAATACATTTCATGGACTCACTATCGCAAACAGATATATTTTTAAATGTTGTATTTTTCTAACATGAAATTGTATTCATATTCAGACACATACTATAAATGATTAATGTCTTCAAGGACTTCAAAATATATCAAAATTGCCTAATTTTGATTTTTTAAACCATTCATTTAATTTTAAGGTTTTGCAATTTTTCATTTTATTTCATAAAATTCAATAGTTAAATCAAGATGAATCAATTTTTAATCACGTTTGAAATTCCATTATTTAGCATTTTAAAATGAAAATTCTAAGGCTTTTAGTCTAAGTCTAGAGTACATATATATGTGTGTGTGTGTATATATATTAAATCACTTTAATATAAAAATTTTATCCTTCTGTTATGTGCCATGATGTGAGTAAAAGAGAGGCAGTGAAGGTAATTTTAAACTCTATTGTTCAGTAAGAAATATCTCTACTTGCCCTGCCGCCCATGAGGGGGTCACATGACTACTAGTCCCTGGGGTTTGTGTTATAACGCTGTGTAGGAGTTATTTTGTATTCGCCCTCAGCTGATGCGCCTTCTTCCTGCAGTCTGTTGTCCTACATTTAATTAATACAATACTACTAATATTAATACATTTAATGTTAATGTCCAAAAAAAGACATTGAATGTTTGAGGGAACTGGTGCAAAGTCCATTTTTTTTCTGTGTAGGATCCAAAGATTTGAAGGTCCATTTAAGCTTACAGACATCCCTGTGTAGGTGTTTAATTTGCGCTGCTACTCTTAATTGTCGTGAATCAAGTAGAGTGAATGATTACAGGCCAACTCTGGGAATTTGGTGAGAGTCCTGCTGTTTTAAACTGCAAACACCCAAACCTGGCGTGTGTGTGTGTGTGTGTGTGTGTGAAGGATTTAGGCCTCGGTATTTGATGTTATGCAACAACTGGCACATGAAACTTTAACATCTTCATACGTACAATTTTCACAAATATGCCATGTTGTGGGCCTGAGTGCTGTGTATTCAAATGTTGACACACATTTAATTGTATATGGTGGACAGGGTTTATATCTATAGATCTACAAATCCACAATTCAAACAAGTCAAAGAAATAAAGTGAAACCCACTGATCATATTATGTAGGTTTATTTCTTTTGTATACATGCATTCACTAACTTTATTTTAATTCTGGTTTAAATGACTAGATTGTACCAATATTGTTTTTCATATTAGAATTGTTTTTTTGTTTTTTTATATTAAATGTAGACAAAGTGAATAGCAAGAAGGAACATACGTGTATCTTTTTACATGTTATGACAGATTTTCGTTAGTTAAGCATCTAAATCTTCTACATCCATGTAATATCCTTACAATTGGTACTTTGCACTTCTTCTCCTCCATTTATTTTAAACTTTCCACATTGTTATCTAACAAACTTACACCTGACCGTGTGTCTGTTTGTTTATAGGGTGGAGCGCTCTACCGACCAGGTGATGAAGCCAGTGAACACTGAAGCGCTCTCTAAGTGGGTTGGGAACATTCCCTCTGACGTGTTGAGTGACATGGCGGAAATTGCGCCCATGCTAGCTCGTCTGGGTTACGACCCCCATGCCAACCCCCCCGACTACACAAGAGCTGCGCCTGTGCTGCCTTCATACAACTACTCACAGGTGAGGTAAAAAAATCATCCAAGGCGCAACAGAATGAAGAGGAGATACTCTGCTTGTTTTACCTTCTTATCCTCTCAGTTAACAGGAGACATCCTGAAATAAAGATGTTTGTTTACATTGCTGTACTGACTCTGCCCCATGTTACTGCAGAAATCAGGTGTAGCCTCAAATAGCCAAGTACAGTGTAGATAGAACATTTAATGTTTGATGAAACCAACAAAAACAAAAGTAAATCAAATAATGTTTGTAATTAATTTGAGTGTCTCTGGGGTACAGCAATAATTGTCTCATTTGCCATTTGAGATCATAGAAAACTGAGTTTGCAGGTTAACAGTTTGGAGAATTATGGAGAAGAAATATAAATGTTGGCTAGTAGACTTTAATGAGAAGTAAAAGGAGGACATACATATTATAATAATGAAACATACTAAAGAACTTTAATGTAAATATACATTATAAAGTTTTTTTTAACATTAAATTACAAGATGACTTTATTAATACATTAGAAAGATAACAAGATCGCTTACAGAAACACGCTAAAAGTACAAACTTGGATGGATTAATACCAGATCAAAGGGGGTAAATCAAGGGTCACCAATGGTTTAGGTTTGACTTACTGTTGAGCGTCAGATTTCCCCCACTGATTCCCACTTCTTTACAATCCTACACCGTGATGCATATGTTCAGGACGTTCCCATTCAAAACAGACATCCTGTTACATTAAAGAATGCTTACTGCATATGTATGGGAGCTTAACCGTACAAAGGTTTGTTTGTTTGTTTGTTATTTGCATAATCAGTTTATCAAATAATTAATTTGACTTATCATTGACAGGACCAGTTTTGGTTTGGGGCTATTTCACTCGATTCCTTAAAGTTACCAAGTAACAATAAACACTGAACTACTGACCAATCACAGCGTTTGGAGTCAACACGTGGTCTCTGTTTATTGTAGAAAGTGTGTTTGCAAAACATAAAGCTTCTGCATTGTTGCACCAATAAAAGTGCAGGGACCAGAGTAAAGTTTCTTCATTTCTTCATTTCTTCATTTCCAAATCAATTCCACTTGTAGTGATGAGAATAGTCGTCAGGTGATTTTAAAGCTTAAAGGAAAACAACAAACATTAATCAGAGCCACACCCATAAATCAAATAATAAACTTAACAGTCTCATATATGCACAAGAGGATATATGTGCACATATACAAATTACTCACTCAATAATGCACCTACTACAGTCAACACTTGGAGTTGTCAGCAACCTGTCCTGCAGCTCAGCATATTGCAGCAAACAAAGGGGGTGAGCATGGCCTGCTACAGGCCTCTTAATTGCTCAAGAGTGGCCTGACAGGTTAAAGTCAGGAGTAGGCTTAAAGGGGCAGTGAGATCTGCAATAGTTACCAGAGTAGCACTGAAGTGATGTCCCATTTTCTTACATTAAATCAGCTACATCAGATTTCTGCAAAGCAGCTAGGACATGGTTTAAATAACAAAAATACTAGATTTCCCATTTCCTGATCATTCTAACTTTTCTTTCCTCAGAGTTTGAAGGCAACAGAGACGCCACACCCCAGTTAGGTGCGGAGAAGAAACTGCTCTTTATTAGGCTTTGCAAATGGATGCACCTTAAACTCGGACTTCCAGTTTGGCAGTGATCTCACCTCACAGGAATGCTTTTTAATTGTTCCACGTTTATTTTACAATTGTTTTTAAGAATTGTACGCAATGTTGAGAACAATACATGGTGGAGAGACCAAAACATGGACTAACCAGGTGTTTTCAGGTTTATGTCTCTGATATAAATGACACGAGGACTATCTGTCACAGGAAGTCTGCTGCTTCTCACACCTCTTAACGTTGAAGTAAGAGATTTAAACCTCATTTTTATGTGTCCTCTCACCTCGTACCAGAAAGTATTTCTACATGTTTGTATGTTATGATTCACCACAAATGTGAATGTGTCATGAGACAAATCTGTCACTTACTGAGAGCTCAGTCAATGTTAATGAAGCATAATGACTGTATATTTTTGAAGATGTATGTTTATTTTCTTAATAAATTATTTTGGTGTTGATCATTTATTCAGAAATCTAAAGTTGTTTATTCTGAACTTAGGATTTGTAATTGTTGTCTAATTTTGACCATAAATAAAACAGATCCTTTGTGTCACATTATGTTGTATTTTGTATGTTGTATTTATTCAGTCTCACTTGCACCATACTCTGTGATAGCATGCATGTGTAAGAGTCAGCTGAGCCACAGCGCCCTCTGGTGATGCAAGGACAACACCAATTTACCTGGTTTAATACTGAATACAACTTTAAAATAAGATAAACCTTTATTCATCCCTCAACGGAGGGATGTACAGTGTTACAGCAGCAAAGCGCAAGGAAAGCCAAAAAAGGAACACACAGTGCACAATTAAATTAAAAAGAAATCAAAATAGTTGAGGAGCCAAAAACAGATCTGCAGTTGTAACAAATGTAGTCTGTACATTCAGTTAAAAAACACTATTATGCACAGAGTGCACATAAAGTGTTAAATGTTTTTGCACATTGATATTAGCCTATCTCTAATATCATCAGGGGTGCTGTGCTGCCTATGGATGCTAGTAGAAATATCTGTAAACATATCAAAATGTGTATATCGTCATTTAAAGCACATTGTGAACATTTTGCATGAAGATAAAAAAAAAAGCATCAACTTTAAACATTAATCTCAATATTTATTCCCATCTCTAAAGCAGCACAAGCAACAGTAGAGTCCTCCCCGTCACTCATGAGTTTAAATGTCTTTAGTCTATATCCAGATCGTCTTGAGGAGACTGAGAGCACTAATGCAAAATGTGCGAAATATATAAAGTTCCTGGGACAGAAGAATATAGGTTCCTGTACTCTTCTGACCGATCTAGGAAGGAAATTGACCTAAAATAGAATAAGAATACACCAGTGTTTTAGTCTATGAAGACCATCCAACAGTTGCATACAGCAAATAGTGATGAAAATAGTGAAGAACCTCGAAGCTCTTTAATACATATTGGAGGAAATTGTTGCCATTTGATTATGTTCAATAGAATATTTGTAAAAACCATTGCATTACTACTGGAGCAAAATTGGAGAACAAACCACCAAAAAATATATTTTTCCATTCTAATGGAGAGAGTCACTTAATTGGCTGTCATACTGTTTCTGTGTTATGTGATTTTTTTTCTACCTCAAATTGTTATCAGTATCAGCCTAAAAGAACACCATAAGTCATCTTTTAGGTTATTTTTTAAAAAGATAAAGATAAAGATAAACTTTATTGATCCCCCGTGGGGGAAATTTGTGCATTACAGCAGCTCCAGAAAACAGGGGATGGGAATATACTTATTAAAAATAAAAATAGAAGTTAAAATCAAATCAAACATATTTACATCATTTAAATAAATAAAAAATACAATAATGTAAAATTACACAGTAACTAAGGGATTGTTCTTAAAAAAACACACAGTGTGTAGCATGAGGTGGTGATGTTGTTAGAGAGTCCGATTAAACAGTCTGACGGCAGATGGGATGAACGACCTGCGGTAGCGCTCTGTCTTGCAGGGTGGGTGTCTGAGTCTGCTGCTGAAGGAGCTTACACGATTTTAAGACATTAAAACACAGGAAAGGTATAGTATTAATTTAATTAGCAATCATGACATTTAAGAAATGACTCTAGTTCCACAAATTCAAACCTAGGATCTGATAACTGAATTACTACTTCGTTAATAATTCAGATCATTAATCACAAGAAAACAACACATTTAGTGATAATACAGATTCAGTAAGAAAGTTAAAAATATTTTCAAACCTTTGTGAGACCAAGGATACACTCCCTTAATGAAAGTCTGAAAACAAAAAATAAACAATTCAACAACGTTTTACCACATAGACCATCACACTGTCAGAGACACGTCTTAACTCTGTTCTTAAGTTCTTATTTCTTCTTGACCAGATTGCAGACCTAGATATCTTTGCCACCTCATCAATAATACAAGCTGTGGTTGACTCAGCGCATGAGCCAAGATTGTATTAACCCATGAGATGCTTGAAAACTAACTGATGAGACACACAGGACACTGCAGTTTTGGTGCCTTTCTGAGTCCCTGAAACTGCTCCTGACACACAAGTCATTTATCAATTTACCAGTGACGTGATTTTGAATGCCTTGTATTCTCACTGTTCATTTGTTAGTTGGTATAGCCTACTTAAGCCAGAAGGTCAAACATATGTAGGTTCCAGCTTTTTTTTTTTGGATGTTTTATCGTTGGAAAGGGACACTAGAGATGAACAGGAAAGATAGTAGAAAGGGAATGAATGAAATCAAGAAAAGGGCCTCAAGTTCAAGTCAAGTAATAGGACCCTGCTCCACCAAGTGAGCTACCAGGACCACTCGTAGCTGTTCCTGGTAAAAAAAAAAAAAAAGAAAAAGAAAAGAAAGAATTGTGACTATTTATCTTAATGAGCATGTCTTTGGACTGTGGGGGGGTTAACTCCATTCTGCTAGCCTTGGATATCAAACCAGGAACCTTCTCTATACAGTGTTTAATACCATGCTGCATCCTGGATTACATCTTCTTGATTTGAAATTGTATAGACTAAATTATTTAGTATATTTAGTACACTCCTCCTTTCAGATCTTTTCAGCACAGGAAGGAGAAGCTCCAGTTGACTTCAAAACTAGTAGATTTAAATGTGGATAGCAGAGCCAAACTGCTGTGCTTTAAATGAAAAGGCGTTCAATGAAATTCTCAACATACCCTCACCTTCAGTGGAGAGAGTTTTACTCTGTTGGCAGCCAAAAAGCAACACCAATTCACTGCAGACCCTTATCGACTACAGAGAGAAAGAGAGGGTCCTGCAGGCAACACAGTTTTTTTTTTTCCAACAACACCTGCTAAAAAAATGTATGTTTTTATGTTAAACATAAGTCTTAATTAATTCAGAGATAAAGTGCCAGGCAGTTACTCAGACTGTAGAACTTGGGTTCCAGACTTGGTCCCTGTGTAGGTCAATGTCTTGAACTTGATGTGGTAGCTGGAGAGGTGCCAGTTCACTTCCTGAGCACAGCCCCTGGGTCCTTGAGCATGGCACTTGACAGCTCACTGTGTGGGCAGCCCCCTCACTCACTCTGACATCTCTTTATAAGTGCATGTCAACAGGATCCTGTTTGTGCATCTGTGTGTATTTCAGCCTGTGTGTGTAGCACGTCTTAATAATGGACTGTAAAATGTAATCTCTTGCAGGATTAATAATGATATTTTTTTCTGATCTGATAGATTGTCAGTATCACAAACACCTTAAATTACTCCCATCCATCAGCATTAAACTTAGCCTACTTCTTAATTCCTGTTGAACTTGCGTCGTTAAATCGGAAGGTGTCATTAGCACACAATAGCTTGGTTCTCTCAGAGCATGAGGCTTAGTTGGTTTACATTGAAAATAAACTGGTACGTGCACCTTCTAAAGGAAGAATTCAAATTTTCAGGCTCAATGATTCCAAATTTATTAGAATGGATTAGATGGGACGTGAGGCAATAAAAACCTTGCAGAGACAAATTTTTCGGCGAGGAACAATTGACAAGGTGACTTTGCTAAATGTTTCTTAGTGCTATGGTGGATTAATGTTGGGTCTTTGTAAAGAGAGTCTACACCTGCTCTTTTTGTAACGTATCTTGAGATAGCATTTGTTGTATAGTGGAACCATACAAATAAAGATTGATTGATATCTTAGACTTTTAAAACAAGCAGGGCTTGCCCTCAACCTGTTATAGCCCGATTAAGCAGGAACAGTAACAATAGAATCTATTTTGTAGAGGATCTCTTCTTTAAAAAAAATTAGATTACTCTATTCCTGCTTTATTAGAGCTTCACCTTTTCTGGCAGGTTTCTGGTTACAAAAATGAATTAGGCCTACCCAAAGTCCTCTATTATGATGTTAAATGAAGAAGAGAGACGGAATCCAAATTTAAGCTAAGAGAACTTCTCCTTTCGATGTTACCTAAAAGTGTTGGACGAAAATTTGTATCCATTCATTATGAAACAGTTACTGAGGCTGTATCAGCCCACATATTGCTGAGTCGGCCTACGTATTACGTCTCTTTACTGAAAGATCCTGATGCTTTGACGGCTGGCCTCAGTATTTTCAACCATCAGCCCTGTCCTTCAGCAAGACACAATCTTCCTACACATCTTCAGATGTGGGGCGGCAGTAGCTCAATCTTAGGAACTTGGTTGGGAATCGGAAAGTCGCCGGTTCAAATCCCAACATGGATCAAGTCCAGAAATTGGCCTGGTAACTGGAGAGCTTCCTGAGAACTGCCGAGGTGCCCCTGAGCAGAGCCCCCACCCCGAGTCCCCTCCATCAGTGCACGTCCATAGGATCCTGTTTGTGCATGTGTGTGTATTTCGGCCTACGTTTGTGTAGCATGTTCACTTGACAGCGTGTAAAAACGAAATTCCAATCAATGAACATTAAATTAAATTATTATCTTAGAAACATTAAATTAAATCACAGTCATTGTCTCCTGCGTCATTTCGCTCTGACATAAACCCTGGCTGGTTCAATAAGCGCGCGAGTGCACATTTCAGCGTTTCAGTGACGTAGACAGCGAACGACGTTTCCGTAGCAACTAGGGCCGATCCGTTAACCGCAGCGGCCACTGTATGCTGCACTATAAAGGTCTTATCGAGGAGCAGGGGCGGATTGTCGTCGGTAACCGGACACCAGCTCTGTCCTGTTTGGCATAGAGACGACCCAGTACCGAGGCGGGGAGCCCGCAGTGCCGTGCGGAGATGCTGAATATGTGGAAAGTCAGAGAGCTGGTGGACAAAGCGTGAGTATGGAGGCGCGGATGGAGCTGACGGTTCCAGTCAAATCATGAAGGGGCTGCCCAGGCTAACCGGTTAGCATGAGCTAGGCGGCTGTAGCCGGGCAGCATCAGCAGCTTTTATCGCTGACAGAGGAGAGGATACGGGCCGTGACGTCACGGAGATAGCCCCTCAGCTGGTAGCTCCGACTAGCTGGCTAGCTGCCAATCTTCATCCTAGTAGCATTA